ACACATCATCAATCAATCAAGGACAATCATCACCATTGTCATCTGGAACAATCAAACACGATCGAAACAACCACCACTTCATTCATCTTGAAACATTTCAATCAAATCAAAACTTGGATCAATTCATACCATTCTAAATCAGAATCAGAATCAGAATCAAAAACAATCAGTCAATCCAATTCATCAACATCAACAACACGCTACCCTATCTCATTCAACTCGAGAAAACGAAAACAGAAACAAAAGTTGAATCCAAACACCACTTTGAATCTAAACAAGAATCAATCTACTTCAACTAGCGGACCATCCAAACCGATCTTAATCACCATTGGAACTCAAACAGACGATCAGGATTCTTTACCTAGATCACGTACCATCTCACTTCAAACCATTTCAGAGTTTCATCAAGATTCAAATCAAGAACATCTCAAGACACTTTCCAATCGTCGATCGAAACCCAACCTAACACTTGACTTTCTTAACTCTCGATCAGATTCTCATCTTCATCAATCATTTCAATCTGATCAACTTACTCAACCATTCCAACGCGTTCCATTACATTCATCCAATCCAACTCAATCCTTGAATCATTTTCATCACTCAACTCGATCCATCAAACATCATCATCATCATTCACTATCAACTCCTCCTTCACCTCTTCTCAATAAATCCACCTTGTTAAATCATCAACTCGAATTAACTAAATCACTCTGTTGGACTTCACCTGAATCTTCTTCAATCTGTCATCAATCTCATACCAGTTCAACTTCGACTAGAACCTTTTCTACAAGTACCACCTCTTCTCATCTTGATCTTTGTCAATGTCAACTTCATTCATCTGAGTCCAACGATCCGTCTAACCGACTTGATCCTCACCATTCTCAATCACAATCTTCTAAACCTACACTTCATTCAACCCATGGCGATCAAACCATCATCAGTCCTCAATTCGAATCACCCTCTCACATTCATCTCAAGCGACTCTCACTGGGTCTTGAGGGTGAGTAATCTGTCCCTAGTAGTTTCCTGTATTGAATAGCTCATCTTGGTATTTTGTTCTACAGTCAATCGAAATGCGAAAGATGTGCTCAATCCGACCATCACTTCTTGGAACAAACTCTGTCATCCATCGGCCAGTAGTAGCGAAAGTTCTCGAAGCACTCATAGTACCAATACGCATCCAAGTGTGATCAATACCAACGAAGACAGTCTCGAACAAGACCTTCCACCTACCTTTAGTCCCACCATACCCACTCATACTTTTCATGAGAGTGCTCCACTAGATGTCACTCGATTCGGTTTAGGCTTACCGATCTCTCAACATTTACAACCTACGATCCAAGACAAATGGGCATCTAATTTAACTGATCCTATTGAACAATCTAGTGTTACAACAGATGATCAAGACCATTCTAACCTTTTTGTAACTCATCCTCAACTAACCCATTCGCCTGCAGCTCTTTCGTCCGTCTTACCTCTTTCGCCATCCAGTAGCTTACCACCAACTGGATCCCAATCATCTGAATCGATTTCATATCCGATTCAAGATTCTACGGTCGAACCATCCGAACAAGCAGCTGGAGCTACACCTTCCTATCTCTTTCAATCTTCACATCATTCTCCTACTCATGGATTCCATCACCTTCATCATCATCCTGCCACTCGATCTGTCTCTAATCCTAATCGGAGTCATAGTCATCACAGTCTTCCATTACCATCACTGATTCCTCCTACCCCACCATCTTGTACACCAGCTCATCTTTCTCATCTGATCTCACCACCTCATCCAGGTCTTTCACTACCACCTTCTCCATTACCTACACCTCAATCTTCTCTGCTCTATCAACATCCATTACCATCTCGATCATCATTTGCAGGACCACCTCCCTATTATTATGGCCCGAATGGATTTCATCCAAGTTTGATTGGATCTACTTCCTCATCTGCTTACAGTTCAGGAAATGGATATCCTTCAACATTCTTCACATCACCATCACCATACCAACCGTACCCCAACGGAAGCAGATCTACCAGTCATGGATCCCCTAATCTAAACCCAAGTTTTTATGGAGGAATGTATTACACTTCCATGTCAAATAAAAAACAAACTCAATCGAAAAGAAGAACATCAGGAGTAGGCGTTCAAGCGAATCCTTCTTCGTCTTTTATACCACCACCTAGAATGGAATCAGAAGGAGAACATGAGATTGAGAGACTTAAGAATCGGTTGAAGGGTATGAGAGCTAAGTTGAGAGAAATGGAAATTGAAAGGTCTAGAAACGAAAGGGAATTGGAAATTGCTAGGTGGAGATTGGAGTGTGTTGGAGTTGAAAAATCTTTGGAAGAGATTGAGGTATGTTTCCTATGATTTTGGTTGATTGGTTTTGTGGGAAAATTAATGGGTTTTTTTGGTTTTGGTTTTTTTTTGTTTTTTTTTAGACTCAGAAAGCTATTCATCATTTTTTGGAAAGAGCTGAAAGAGCTGAATCTTATTTGAAGTTGTTGGAAATGAAATTGAGTAATCCGGTTTCTACACCTTCTACTACTTCTTCTGTTACTCATTTGGTTTTGACTAACAAAGAAGAAGATGGAGAAGATGGAGGGTTTTTGAGAGATGTGAGTTTGGGTTTTCTGTGATTTTTTTGGGAGGAAGTGTTGGGGATTGATGGGTTTTTCTTTCTTTTTGGGATAGGAACTTGAGTTGGAGATCGAGAGGGAGAGGGAGAGGGAGATGGAAAGAGAAATGGGGATGAAGTTGGAGATGGGCTTGGAGAAGCGATTGGAGATTGAGGATGAGGTTGTGGAGATGGGAATGAAATTGATTGAAAAGAATGTAAGTGCTTGGTTTTGGTTATGAAGGTTTGAAGTTGAGTTTCTGAATTGATGTGTGGGTTTGTTGAAATAGATTATCATGGATGAAAATGAAGATCAGAAAGAAGAAAATGAGAATGAGAATGGTGAAGATGGGAATGATGGGAATGGGAATCAAAAGAAATGGCAAATTGTGAAGGAATTTGATGTGGATTTGTTGGAAATTGAACTTGATGAATGAATGAATGAAAAAAATTGAAAAATTGAAAAAATGGAAAAGCAAAGGAGAAAAGGAAAAGCAAAAGAGAAAAAGGGAATGGGGAAAAGGAAATGGGGAAATGGTATTGAAAATGGAAAGCAAAGGAAAGAAATGAAATTTTATAAGATTTTTTGAGTTTGGTGATGATTTGGGTTTTGATTTTTGATTTTGATATAATTTGGTTTTGATATAATTTGGTTTTGATATAATTTGGTTTTGGTATAATTTATTATTATTTATTTCATTTTTTTTAGATTAGATTAGAAAAAAAAGAAATCGTCTTTTGTTTTGTGTCCCTCTGTTTTGTGTTCCTCTGTTGATGTGTCTCTGTTTGGTATGGTATGGTTTGGTTTGGTTTGTTTGTAAATTGTATTTATCTTTCATTTTTTTCATTTTTCATCATTCTTTTGTGTGTTATAGTATAGTAACATTTTGATTTTTTTGATTTTTTTTGTTCTGTCTTTTTTTTGGGGGTGGGAGAATTTTACACCAAGCACTTTACACCATGTGAGTCGGTGTAAAGTTGACTTGGTGTAAAATTCCAAAAATACCCCCTAATTCTTGAATTTTACACATAATTCGTCTTTTTTTAGTCAGCGTAAAAAAATGTTGTGTATTACTTTTGCTAAAAAGGAAGCCCCGGTTGAAAAAAAATAAAAAAGAATGTAGCCCAGAATCTCACCGCAGTCACTGCGGTGGGCATACATCAGCAGACAAGGTTTAGCACGTGCAGCCCCGCCTCCAATCCCGGTCAATTTGATTCAGGTCCTTCAAGAGAGGCTACCACCAACCAATCAATTTCAATAGTTGTCTTCTATGGGGTTCCGTAAATATTCAGCTGATATCAAGGTGCTTGCTGTTTGCTAC